CTTTTGGAAGATTGTTAAATAATGCTGAAGGATTAAGACTTATTTAAAAAAACAAGTAAATAAATAAATTAAAGACAAATAAAAAGTTAATCAATGTTAATAAATAAACTTGTAAAGTAAATACCTGTCTGTTGAGTCGAATTTAAGTTTTGGTTCTAATACATAACGATAAAATCGTTTTAAAGGCATTTCTTGTAGCAATATGGTTGGATTTAAATAAATTTCAATCGAAACACCCTCAATTTTAGACAAAACCTAATTAAAAAAAATTTCCAAATTAATGATTTTTTCATTTATTGTTAATTAATAATTAATTTTTTAAGGTGATTTATCGAATTACTTCTAATATTTTGGACCATTTTTGAGCAGTTTCACTTATTGGATCAAGTAAAACACCGAATTGATAGATAGCAGTATCAAGATTTCCAATTACATTTAACCGACTAAAAAAACAAAAATAATATTATTATATAATAAATATTTGTTTTTAAAAAACATAACATGCCGATTTTCTTTTAAATTACCAATGTTCTCTGAATAATTTTTTATATGGTCTATCTCGTTTTATTTCTTGATTATCAAATATTCCAAACGGGACATCAGAAATTGTTGATTCAGAGATTACTGAAGTGACTTTTGCAACAAAATCTGAAAAAACTGAACTAAAAGAGAAAAAAAAATTTCCTTTTTAAAAGTTGAAAATTTAAAAAAATGTAATAAATAATTAAAAAAAATCTATTTACCCAGTTAAATTAAATTGATTGATTAAATCAAGTGTTTTAATTGCATCAAGAGTAGGATTAATTCTTTCATTTAATTCTAAATCAACCAATAATCCAAAATCATCAACTAAAAACAAATCATTTTTATCAATAGGTCCAATTATCTGAATAATTAAATAATTAATAATTAAATTTGGTTGAAGATTATTTTTTAATAATTAACTAATTGGGAAAATTTACTTACTCTTCCGTTAATTATAATTATTGATTCATCAGAATCATGTGATGGTTTAAGTGATAATTTATCAATAAAACTAAACTTCCAGTTATTCCAAAATTCAATTGAATCTTTATTATTAACACCCTTATTAGATAAACTATTAATAAGATTATTTTCATTATTGATAACTTCTTCAAATAATAATTCAATTAATTCAAGTTTTTTATTATTGTTATCATCACCATCATCACCATATAACAAATAATGCATTAATGATGATATTTCTATTGGTTCATTATTAATCTGATTTGAAGTTGATAATTCCGATGAATTACTATTATGAATAAAAGTTAATCTAACATCAAATGAATTTTTCTGTAATTTATTAATTATATTTAAGATTAATGATAAATAAATATTTATTAATTAAATTATTATAATAAATTTTATATATGGTTACCAAATATTTTATTGCTTCTAATCCTTGTTTAATGCCATTTAGTGAACTGAAATTAGTGATAACTATTATTGTTTTTGTAACTTTTTCATCGCCATGAACTAGAAAAATAAAAAATTAATTATATGCATAATGAAATAACTTTTAGGTATATAATCTATGAATGTGAAATATTACCTGGATATAAATATTTTAGGTTCTTAATATCAAAATATTCGTTATTATTTTCTAGTAAATTAATATTTTTTAATGGATTTAATTCATTAATAAATATATAATTATTTCTTCTTGACGGAACATTTGGTAAAGTCATAAATAACTCATAAATGTCGGTATTATCATTAATTTCACCAACATAAACCTATAAATTATAAATATAATGATATAAATATATTAGCATGATTATAAATAACATGTATAAATAAATTAATAAATAAAATACTCACTTTTTGTTGAATAAATAATGTGTGTTCATTAATTGTTTGTCTGATATTTTTTGGATACATCTAAAAAATAATAATAAAGATTCAATTGAATTTTGGAATAACTGGAAGTTTAGTTTTATTGATAAATTATCAC